AGTAGTTAGTTAAACATTAACGGTTGTATTCAGTAGTTAATTAAACACTAACGGTTGTATTCAGTAGTTAATTAAACATTAATTAACAGTTGTATTCAGTACTTAATTAAACATTAACTGTTGTATTCAGTAGTTAGTTAAATATTAACGGTTGTATTCAGTAGTTAATTAAACATTAATGGTTGTATTCAGTAGTTAGTTAGATATTAACAGTTGTATTCAGTAATTAGTTAAACATTAACGGTTGTATTCAGTAGTTGATTAAACATTAACGGTTGTATTCAGTAGTTAGTTAAACATTAACAGTTGTATTCAGTAGTTAATTAAACATTAACGGTTGTATTCAGTAGTTAGTTAAACATTAACGGTTGTATTCAGTAGTTAGTTAAACACTAACGGTTATATTCAGTAGTTAGTTAAATATTAACGGTTGTATTCAGTAACGGTTGTATTAGTTAAACACTAACGGTTGTATTCAGTAGTTAATTAAATATTAACGGTTGTATTCAGTAGTTAATTAAACATTAATATTCAAGAATTTCTGTTATTTCTGTAACTCTCTCTAAGTATTGTTCATGTAATTAAAATTTCCATAATATAAAAAACATAAAATGTGAGACATAATATTGAGCAAACTGTGGTAATTCTTAAAAAAAACACAAGTAACATTCTTTCAGGTACAATCTAAGGATTATTAACAATAAAAACTTTTTAAAACCAAATGTTTTCTTTAGCACTGTGTTAATATTTTCTGCTGGTAATAAAATTCACCCCTACAGTCTGTACGAAGCTATTAAGAAACTGATCCAGGGTAAGATTCATCGGCTGCCAGTCATTGATCCTCAGTCTGGGAATGTATTGTACATCCTCACCCACAAGAGGATACTTAAGTTCCTCTTTCTCTATGTAAGTTTTTTAGACTGCAACCAAACATGCATAAAAATAGACTCATAAAACAAGTAGTTGATATAAGATACAGTTAAAATAACTGACAGTGAACCAATTATTCGGGCATATTTCAGGTTTTTCTTAGCCTATAAATCTCGGTTTCGAGCTTAACTATAGGAAATAAATTAGAAGATCAACTAGGAAACAGAAGAAAGAATTGTTAAGAATTATCTGAAATATTCCAGCCTGTTTTAAGTTTAACTACTCCGTATAAATATATGGTCTGCTAAACTGTGAATGTGAAATATAAATTTGATGTTTATATCATTTAAAATAAATCAATTTTTTAACTTGAATATATATATATATATATATACAGAAAATATTTTTCATCTAAAAATTTCTAGCTTTTTTATTGTGATGTTGCTTTGGGATAAAATCCATGTTACTCATGAGGCCCTAATGAAAATGACAGTAATGTTTTTAAACTTGTTATTGTAGTTAATAAAGGTGAAGGGATCGAGGAGATTGTAACCTAAATTATTATGATTAGTATTGTGTGGTTCAGATTCTACTCATCTTTTCTGAATAAATTGGGGAGAATTTTCTAGAAAAACAAACTTGATTTTCTCTAATTGAACATGCGTCTGTGCCTATAATATAATAATATTTTTCTTATGCTATGTGCTACAACACAACCATAACACATGCCACATCAAAGTTCCTGTTTAACAAGTAAGTATAAACACATGGCTGCTCCTATATCATCTTTACACTTTGTTTGTACTTTTTTTTCAGTTTTCTGAGCTTCCAAAACCAAGTTATCTCAACAAGACCTTACAAGACCTGCAGATAGGAACTTACAAAAACATAGCAACCGTAAGCTTTCTGTCTGTGTTGAAATATGATACATTCTTTATAAAAACCTTTAATGGAATTCATTCCTTTGCCTCGTGGAGTGTGCAGATATTGTAGTTTTAGGCCTCATGGAATGTGCAGATATTGTAGTTTTAGGCCTCGTGAAGTGTGCAGATACTGTAGTTTTAGGCCTCGTGGAGTGTGTAGATGTTGTAGTTTTAGGCCTCGTGGAGTGTGTAGATGTTGTAGTTTTAGGCCTCGTGGAGTGCGCAGATATTGTAGTTTTAGGCATCGTGGAGTGGGTAGATATTGTAGTTTTAGGCCTCATGGAATGTGCAGATATTGTAGTTTTAGGCCTCATGGAATGTGCAGATATTGTAGTTTTAGGCCTCGTGAAGTGTGCAGATATTGTAGTTTTAGGCCTCATGAAGTGTGTAGATATTGTAGGTTTAGGCCTCGTGGAATGTGCAGATATTGTAGTTTTAGGCCTCATGGAATGTGCAGATATTGTAGTTTTAGGCCTCATGAAGTGTGTAGATATTGTAGGTTTAGGCCTCGTGGAGTGTGTAGATATTGTAGTTTTAGGCATCGTGGAGTGTGCAGATATTGTAGTTTTAGGCCTCGTGGAATGTGCAGATATTGTAGTTTTAGCCCTCGTGAAGTGTGCAGATATTGTAGTTTTAGGCCTCGTGCAGTGCGCACATATTGTAGTTTTAGGCATCGTGGAGTGTGCAGATATTGTAGTTTTAGGCCTCGTAGAGTGTGTAGATATTGTAGTTTTAGGCCTCGTGGAGTGTGTAGATATTGTAGTTTTAGTTCAAATGGAAATTAGTCTGATTTTTCACCTCATTTCTCATATCTGTATATGAGTATTTTTTGCTAAAATATAATATTATTAACTTTTAAATACACAAATGCTGCAAATTTAGTGTGAAATAAAAAAATACTTTTCATCATACAAAAGGTATTAATTATCGTGTTTTGTTTCTAGGCCAGAGAAGACACTCCTATCATTACAGCACTAAACCAGTTCATAGAGAGGAGAGTTTCAGCTTTACCGCTGGTGAATGAACAGGGCAGAGTGGTTGATATTTATGCCAAGTTTGATGTCATTGTGAGGATTTTAAAGATTATGTCTCTTTATGTTTTGGATCACTTTAGATCAGATGTAGTTTACTTCCTAATTGAACTTAAAATCCAAATTGATAGTTCTCTAATAGTGTTATTAAAATAAAATATTTTGTTTCCTGCCTCTCCTAGCTACAGGTCAATAATTTATTATATTTAAGTTTGTATCATCTGGCTGCATCAATAGGAATTATTTATGCTGAAATTATATGTTGCCCATCCACATGACTGCACCTCCTTTCCAAAATCCTAGATCTGCTAGTGAGCTATGCCATGTATTAAAATGTTGTATTCCTAGTGTGACATTATATGATAGTAACCACTGTCAAAGTGCCATTGTTAGTGTGACATTATATGATAGTAACCACTGTCAAAGTGCCATTGTTAGTGTGACATTATATGATAGTAACCACTGTCAAAGTGTCATTGTTAGTGTGACATTATATGATAGTAACCACTGTCAAAGTGTCATTGTTTGTGTGTGACATATTATATGATAGTAACCACTGTCAAAGTGTCATTGTTAGTGTGACATTATATGATGGTAACCACTGTTAAAGTGTCACTGTTTTTGTGTGTGACA